CAATGGTACAGGATGTTTCTGCTTGTATTTTGGTGGAGCTACAGTGATAAACTCGATCTTTCCACAATGATGGTTTAACCCGCACATTTTTTCAATATGTGGGAACTCTTCTGATCGTGCTCAAGGAAAGTTCTATGTTTGTCATCCTTTCCCAGCATTTTTGATCTTTCGGAATAATACGTAGGAGTTTTCTATTGATTTATATTGTCTAGATATTATGTTTGATTCTTGGAATTTTTGGCTATTTTGTGTGTCTCATTTTAATAAGGTCGTATGGATGAGCATGTTTATACTTGTGGTATCTGTAGAATAAAATGCAGTTGTAGGTTGTCAAAAAATAAGCTATGCTATTTTGGTTATATGCAACTTATTAACCTAAGATGGCATGTCAATCAGGTTGGTGGCCCTGAAAATGTTTATCTGGCTGCAAAAACTATATTCTTTTCAATGGGAAAGAACATAATTTATTGTGGTGGAGCAGGAAATGGATCAGTAAGTACTTTCCTTGTTGTTTTGGGTCTCTCTAGATAGAATTTACACGAATGATGAATTAAGGATACTGAATATCATCTTTTACATTTTGGTTAGATGTAACTTTTTGGCCAGCCCATACTTGTTCTCTTTTTCTCATTGTTTTAGTTCTCTCTAGATGGGACTTATATGAATGATGAATTAAGGATAGCGAATATCATCTTTTACATTTTGGTAAGATGTAATTTTCTCTTTGGGGCTAAAGCCCATGTGGTCTGGTCTGCCTACAGTATCATCCATGACATATACTTTGATTAATTTATTCCTTAGATTCCTTTATCCTTTGCTAGTCATTTCACTGGAAGTGCATTCTTGGGTGGCTTGGTGCCAAGTTTCAGTCTCCTTTCTTTCCTTTGTTTACTTTGAAGATTCAATCAAGACTTGGTTACTAATTTAAATAAATCTAATGATAAGTAAAATATAAGTCACGGTAACTTACTGCACTATCAAGTTATCTTATATTTCTCTTTCATAGGCTTGTTTCAGTTGCATGTATCACTGAACTTTCCAGAATCTCTTTCTATGATGTACTTTGCATGGATGCATCTCTTAGGCAGCAAAGGTGTGCAACAATTTGGCAATGGCTGTGAGTATGCTTGGTGTATCAGAAGCCCTTGCTCTTGGCCAATCACTGGGAGTCTCTGCCAGTACTCTGACAAAAGTCTTTAATACTTCGAGTGCTCGATGCTGGAGTAGGTATCAATACTTATCTAGTGTCTCATTTGTTAATGGCATTCTATATTTTCCCTTCAATTAACATGAAAAAAGAAGTGCCAGCTCTTGAACCAGCTAAAATTCTCAGTGAACTTTCAATCTCTTTTAGATTACAATAATGGCTGTCGAAGGAAATTAGTTGCATTTTATAATGACATGGTTTCAGATAAGGTCACTAAAACTTGCATATTTCGTTAACTGTTAGGTTCAATAAACACGTATATTGAAAATTATTTTCAATAAATCTAAAATTGAAAATGTACAAGCCTCGGTAATTTATTATACCTTCTCTCGTGCAGATTGAAATACATTTGCATAAGAATAGTTTTGGATGAAGCTGACTGGAGACTCTGAAACCTCACTAACTTGCCAAAATATCATGAACAGTTAAATTTGGAATTGGGAAACTGCACTATGGAGTTTCCCTTTGCCAGTTTACCTCGTCATTTTTCCTCTAAGATTTCATTATTAGCTTAAAGATTTCTTCTCTTCTATGGTAGACCATTACTCACATAGGAATCAGATGTATATTGCACATCTATGGGATATTTTTCCATTATCCATCTGATTTTGTAAGGTTGATGGTGGTCTTAAATGAGAGGGAAGGTAGAAAGTAATTATTTACCACTTCTCCTTGATGCTTCTCAAAGTTGATATCTGCATATTTTTTCCTTGGAACTGGTTCATTGATTTTCAAGGATATGTCCAACATGACAGTGATAGTTATAATCCTGTACCTGGAGTGATGGGAGGAGTGCCCTCTTCAAGGAACTATGATGGTGGGTTTTCATCTAAACTAATGGTAAGCAGTTGTCTATGAATTCTCATATCTCCTTCTGAAGGCTTGATTATATTCTACATCTTGCTCCATGAAATTTTATGTCTGCATGCTAAGGCTTTACCAGTTAACTCAATGGGTTAGAGGACACTGGAAGATTATTTAAGAGGAAAATTACTACCGCAGTCAAGTCTTATTTATACTTCCCCTTCCAATAAAAAAAGCTTACATTCATTTCTCTTTGTGAACTTGAAAAATACATACCACTGTCATTAAAAATAAGCTTAGATTCATTTGCGTATCTAATCATTCAGAAAAATAAGTTTGATATTTTCTATAGTGAACTAATTTGCTACATTTTTTATGTGATTATGTTTCTACTATAGTTTTTATCATTTCTTGAATCAAGTATGAGGACAAACACTCGTTCTTTGTATGATGCAGGCCAAAGATTTAAACCTTGCTGCGGAATCTGCTAAAGAGGTTGGTCTTAGATGCCCACTGATCTCTCAAGCACAAAAAATGTAAGTACCCTAGACACGACCTTAAGTCTCTCTATCTCTCTTATGTGTAGAAATGCGTACTTTGTATGCATCTGCTGCCACAAGGGCAGCTGAGTACTCAATACTCAACCTTCATCCATCCAAAACGACAAAGTTTTAAGACACAAAAATCACAGTTCAGTTTTAAACAATGTAATTTCATGAGTATGAGAAACATTTTAGTCACTATTTTCATTCAGTCTCTCTCCTTAAAGAATTAGTTTTCGTCTGTTTTCCGAGTTCTCTCCTTTCCAGATTTTCCCTTTGCACATCTCAACAGTTTTCCATCTATTTCCCTGTGTTACTGATTTGACTGGATCTCACCTGTGTTACATTTCAGAAGGATTCACATATTTGTGTTCTGTCTATCTCTTTAACACTATTTTTCCAGTTCTCGAATTATAACAACCATATAAATATATTTCCAAAGTGGAAAGGGTAATCATATGTTAGCTTCATTTTTTTATATATAAAAGATATGGTAGTTCAACTCTTGGTATAATTAATTTAACCTTTAAAAAAAACCCTTGATTTAGTTAGATACCAAAGTTACTTTCTTCAATCATGGACTTACATGCTACTTGTAATTTTTTGTGAGCATTATACATAGTCTATGGGATTATTTGCTTGGCCAGTAGGCATTCCCTACATGTAATCTAGTAACTTGCTGTTAAACCCCCTCCATGGATTAGCTCATGGATCAATGAACAAGTTTGGTTTTTGCAGATACACAGATATCTGCAGCAGTGGTCATGATTCAGAGGATTTCTCCTGTGTTTTTCGCCATTATTACAATGGCAAGGATGAGATTAACTAACTAGTAATTGCTTCTAGAATAGCAGTAAATAATTCAGAGGAAACTTCAAAAATAAAAATGACTCTCTCCTTTATGATGTACGTGGATGGTTTCATGTTGACACAGACGTACTATACCTTATCACTGACCATTAGAGACAGCGAACCAGATGAAATTGTGTTTACCCATCTAAAATGTATTGTATCTAGCAACTATACTCTACTTTTTAAAGTTAAGCAACTAATTACTGTACTGTTTGTACTCTGTTATTTACTCTGGAAGAACATATCTTAGAGACATAAATCTCACTATCAGTAGCATGAAGGATACCGACAAGTAGATGCAGCCATTGTAAAACAGATGCATATAACTATCTTCTTCTCCGTATTACAAGGCATAAATCTCATTGTCATACAACCTAATTAATAAGACTGTAGAAAGAAGATAATATTCCTTTTAATCTTCAATCTACAATATGCATATATATACATATATATATATGTATAGGGAGCAACTGTACAAACAGCCATATCTCAATAAACATTCTACCTTTCCTTAGGTGGTGGGTAGCCGGATTCCAGCCTTTCGGATATCATCACGGCCGCTTGTCATCATTCGCACACGTGGTGTCTAATTGCTTCGGCACCGCTTGACACGTGTAAACACTGGAACGCTATTAATTCACGTCACGCTGGTTTCCCGATGCATGTTGTATGCATACACGTTATATATATATATATATATATACATATGTATATAAACCAGCTCTTAACTTTATGCACATAATTGTTAGTAGTTTTGAACTTTGAAGGGGATAATATGAAGGTAGTTTTCGAGCTTCACGCTGGTTTCCCGATGCATGTTGTATGCATACACGTTATATGTATATATATACATATGTATATAAACAAGCTCTTAACTTTATGCACATAATTGTTAGTAGTTTTGAACTTTGAAGGGGATAATATGAAGGTAGTTTTCGAGCTTCACGCTGGTTTCCGGATGCATGTTGTATGCATACACGTTATATATATATATACACATATGTATATAAACAAGCTCTGAACTTTATGCGCATAATAGTTGGTAGTTCTTCAACTTTGAAGGGGATAATATGAAGGTAGTTTTCGAGCTTCACGCTGGTTTCCCGATGCATGTTGTATGCATACACGTTATATGTATATAGATACGTATGTATATAAACAAGCTTTTAACTTTATGCACATAATAGTTGGTAGTTTTTCAACTTTGAAGGGGATAATATGAAAGGTAGTTTTCGAGCTTCACGCTGGTTTTCCGATGTGTATTATGTACTACGTTTTATACATGTATGTTATATATATACATACATATATAAATATAAATGTATATAAACAAGCACTTAACTTTATGCACATCATACTTAATAGTTTTTCAACTTTGAAGGGGATAATATGAAGGTAGTTTTCGAGCTTCATGCTGATTTCCCGATGTATATTATGTACTACGTTTTATACATGCATGTTATATATATACATACATATATATATATATATATATAAATGTATATAAACATTTATATATTATATATATAATTTGTTGGTTGCAGAGATTAGTGGAGGAAATTCAATTCGCTGGTGAGAAGGTATGCATCTTTAATTCCTCAACTTCATCTCTCTTGTATTCTGCTTGCACCTTTTTCTTATTCTTTTTTTTCCATTTTTGTTAATTTTAACATCTTGTAATTCTCATATATATGTGCAACTAGCCAAATATATACATATATGTATATATTATCTGGTATATATACATTCTTTTATATTTATGATAATGACTATATGCATAAGTATTTTCCAAATATAGAAAACAGTTTGATGTGCAGGATGATATGTAATTTTTTTTAATTATTTTACCAAAATTAAATAGGAATTTAATGAAAAAATAATACTGTGTTTATACTTTTATTATATTTTATTTACTTAATTTATAAATTTTAGTTACTAATTAACAAATTTAAATACACATTTTCACAAATATCATTCATTGTTATTTCATATTATCAGAAGAGGAGGCTGGCAAGAGGATGGGACAATGGCTCTCTTAACAAAAAGGTGGACTAATCTAATATTTTGTTCTAAAGTAAATGTATATACTGTATTACATTTGTGCAGTTTCTAATTCCAGTTCTTAGTTAAATTTTATGTTGGTCTTGTTTGTTAAGGTAATGCATAGTTTATACATCTTTAATATTCTTTCTCATGCTTGCTCTTTTTAATTCTAGCCTAGAAGAAATGACCATGGTGACTGTATATTCAGTTAATGTGTACATATATATATACACATTTTGATGGCTGGTAAGAGGGTATTAGAGGTATATTCACAGTACTGTGTATGCAGGAGGAGGAGACTGAACCTGCAGATGAAGAAGAAGAAGAAGAAGAAGATGATGATGATGATGAAGAACAGCCTTTAAGTCCAAAAGTGAGCCATGGATATGATTTGGTGAAAGGAAAAATGGGACATGGAATGGAAGATTATATCGTGGTTGAAACTAGGCGTGTCAATCGGCATCAACTGGGATTATACGCGATCTTTGATGGTCATTCGGGTTCTCAAGTTGCTGAATATTTGCACACACATCTCTTTGATAACATATTATCTCAGGTTTTCTTTAATCTTAAGATATTGTAGTTCAATTTTTAGGTTGTAAAATTAGTCATAACGTATACATTTTGATGCATAATTGAATTATTTTTAACAGTATTTTCAATGATTTGATACGTTATTGTCAATTCAATCTCAGCCTGCTTTCTGGACGAATCCAAAGCAAGCTATCAAGAGAGCCTACAAAGTTACAGACGACGAGATCTTGAAGAATGTTGCTGGTTTCCGAGGAGGCTCCACAACAGTTACTGCAATACTTAAAGACAGAAAGACACTAATTGTCGCTAGTGTTGGCGATTCTCGAGCAATCTTATGCAGAAATGGGAAAGCCAAACAAATAACCACAGATCATGAACCTGAGAAAGAGAGAGATTTGATTGAGAGCAAAGGTGGATTTGTATCTCAAAAGCCTGGTGACTGACTTATTTCCTTAAATATATTCTTTTTTTACATTTTGTCTTTTTTTTGGGTTGATTACTAAGTATTTGGTATCTTTACAGGAAATGTCCCACGTGTGGATGGGGAACTAGCGATGACAAGAGCATTCGGAGATGGAAAACTAAAGGATCATATCACGTCGAAACCAGATGTGAGAAGTGAAGTGATTGATGAGGATACTGAATTGATCATTTTGGCAAGTGATGGCCTGTGGAAGGCAAGATTTTGTAGAGTTTCGATTTAATAAAACATAACCTGCTGCATTCTTAACCATTTCCGATGAGAAGTCATGTTAATAGCGAGCGAAATCACATTTTTTTCTGCAGGTTATGTCAAACCAGAAGGCTATCGATTGCATTAAAGATGTGAGAAGTGAAGTGATTGATGAGGATACTGAATTGATCATTTTGGCAAGTGATGGCCTGTGGAAGGCAAGATTTTGTAGAGTTTCGATTTAATAAAACATAACCTGCTGCATTCTTAACCATTTCCGATGAGAAGTCATGTTAATAGCGAGCGAAATCACATTTTTTTCTGCAGGTTATGTCAAACCAGGAGGCTATCGATTGCATTAAAAATGCTAAAAATGCGCAGGAAGCATCTGAAAAGTTGATCGAAGAGGCATTGTCTAGAGATAGTAAAGATGATATATCTTGCATAGTTTGTATCTTTCAGCTGATCTAGTTCGTATAAACTTAATATTACAAGCAAGTTCCTGGGTGAGTTGAAGTCGAGATTTGAAGTTCTGTTATTATTCGTTCTTGTTTGATTACTTTCAAGAGCAGAAATCTCTGGAAACAATTGATGAAGGATGTTAGTTTTTTCCACAACCTAAATTTCTTGCCCAGTTGTTTCATTATTTCCTATTTAGTAAGAAAGCTCGGCTATGCATATATTCTGGGATTTATGTAATTTTTCAAGATTATATCTAAAGAATTTGTTCCTAAGATGCCATAGAACATGCTTATGTATTTTGGAGGGAACCACTTCTCCACATGATTTACATAAACGGTAACCACATATATTGTACACTTTTCCACACACTATATTAAGGGTAACACAGCCTCTATCTTTTCATTTAGTATATAATGGGAAAGATGCAATTGACAGTAACGATGGAATGAACATGAAGTGATTCATGGAATGAGCATGAAGAGACTAAAATGCTTATACCGAACCTGATCCTTTGTCTGCAGTTCCGTATAATGATTCATGGACTGTCTGGAAGTAGAGTTATTTCTGTGAAAACCTTCAACCTGTTTCTCCTCGTCATGCTTATGTTCTTCCCAGTAAAGGAATCTTTTTCTTTCAAGGGCAAAGAATTGCTGTCGCCTCCGAAATATAAAGATCGACGAGCTGTAGGATTTCTAGATGAAACAGCATTTCCAGATGTACCATTATATCCATCTTTCTGATAAAATGATTTCAGCTCTTGTCCTGCAGCTTCTGTCTGACTCAATGGATAATAAGGGCTTTGATACATCAAGTTGGTATCCAGATTTTCGTCACTAAATTTTTCTTCTTCTTCTTTGCTCTTCAAACCATCAAAATATTTACTTGGAGTATCTCCACAAACTAATTCTTTATACATTTCTTCGTCTTCTTCTGCAATATCAGCCCAACTCTTCTTAGCTTTATCCTTTAAATTTTCTGGGTTTTCATCAACTGGGTCTTCTTTCTGATTTTTGTACTCAAACGATAATTGTCTAGGAGAACTATCAACCATATTCTCTCCCCATTTTCCTCTCTGATCTTCATTAATCCCCAATGAAACTCTTGGTTGTGTAAGTAGAACTCCTGAATGAGACTCTACATTGTCATCGGTGCATGTTACTGGTTCTTCTATCAGATTTCCGGATGCATGCGAAAATGCATTCTCGGTTATTTTAGCTTGCTCAAATGACAATTTCCTAACCGAACTTCCACCCAAACTTTTTCCCAATCTTTCTCTATATTTTTCATCCTTCAAACCCCATGAGCATCTTCTTGGTTGTGTAAGTAGAATACCTGATTTCAGATTTCCGGATGCATGCGAAAACGCATTCTCGGTGATTTTATTTTGCTCAAATGACAATTTCCTAACCGAACTTCCACCCAAACTTTTTCCCCATATTTCTCTGTAATTTTCATCCTCCAAACCCCATGAGCATCTTCTTGGTTGTGTAAGGAAAATTCCTGATTTCCTTCTAGTACATGTTGAGTAGCTGTTATTCCCTAAACTTGCTTCAGTTTCTTTCCCATTCTGATATCTCTTCATTCCGTCTGCAAAATTGGACATCTCCAATGAGCTTTCAGAACAACAACCATTGCTCCAATTATCCAAACCATTTTTGTCAGAGTTTGAGCTCTCATTGTCAACCACATAGAAACTGTCTTCAGATCTTCCACTTCGTTCATGTTGTGATTCTTTCTCTCTTAGAATTTGATAAGCGCGTTCAAATGATTTTGCGCACGACTCATCCATCTGTCTTTTCTTAGGCGAATCTCTTACAGCGAGAAGAAGTGATTTTGCTTCTGCAATTCTATTCATATGCATTAAACAAATTGCCAGATTGCATTGCTTGTTCTTATCAACCTCCAAGGACAAAGCTTTCCTGCAATTTTGCAACCATTCTCTTCAAAATTGTAGAATATGTGCTATCTCTAACTGGGGTTTTTTCTGGATATCTTGTCACTTTAAATTAAATAGAAGTAAAAAAGTCACCTGTAATATTGTTCTGCACTTCCATAATTATGCTGCTGAAGGTAAGCCCAGGCCAAGTTGCCTAAAATCCTGAACACCCAATACTGAAGTTAGATAGAAAATTAGCATCCAATATTTTCTGAAGATAACAAAATGAAGAACATATCCACCTTGATTTCTCTTGTTCAACAGTTATTTGAATCTTCTTTCCTTGAGACCTGGCTGTCTTTGTTCTCTTCCCACCAAAGGTTACACCTTCAATGTTCTTCAGTTTGTGTTGAAGGAGTTCAACCTCTTCTTCAATCCTTCCGGATCTCTGGGAAACCAGAAAGTAATATACGCAATTATCACATATATAAGGTTTCGGAATTTCCTTGACAAAGTAGTCTTCTTGATTGAGATTTTACTAATTTCCAAATGAACTAGTTAGTAGCAAGGACTGGTGCCTTACCTTGTAAAGTTCAACAAGCACATTATCTAGAGATTCCTGAGCATCGTAAGGACAGAGGTGGCGAAAAGATTTAATGGCCTCGATTGCTTCATCGGATCGATTCAATTGTTTCATCACGACTGCCATGTCTTTTAAGGCACTGTCAATTCTATCCCCAGCATTTATTGCAGCCCAGAATAAGGAAATTGCTCTGCTTGGATCTTTCTCTATCAACTGTTTTTTGCAAATTGAGTAAGCAGAATAACAAAAGGCAGAATGGATGAAGATGGGTTCAATTTCACAGTGAGAATTTCTAACTCCTCTAAGCCAAAGGTGCACTATCATAATCCAATATTTTCTCATACAACTTCCCTAGAAACAAACAGAGGGTTCGTGGCCGGGTAGACCTCCGTGGACAGTTAATTCCTTTCTTAGGAAGATTTTCAATGTATTACGTTACTATTTAGAAAACTAAAGGAGTTTAACCTAATGGGGTCAGCCAGTTTCAATTAATGAATAACTGAAGCAGAGAAGGAAAAGACAACCAGAGGGGAGAAAATCAAGAAATAAAGAAAATTTTCAATAAAGAAAAAAATCAAACACAAACCCTACAGAGATAAGAAGAAAAAACAACAAACCCAGGAAAAAAAAAACCAAAAGAAAGAATCGCAGCAAAAGGAAAAACAGATTACCTGAACATGTTTAGCCCTGACATAAGGCGAGTCGCCAGCAGGCACCTTATGGACGACATGAAAGAGATCACCTTTATGCACTGGAGAAGAACTCTTCCTCTCCGACATCGGCATTACCAGAGAATCTCTCGGCCTTGAGTTCCACGTTGGCTGTGGCGTAGAGAATCCCCTTCCCAGCGGTTTCCTGTCGTTGGCCCACATTTCTTACGAGTACTCTTATCACTTTCTCGGGAAAATTTCCAGTACCCTTTTCTTGAAATCTCAAGAAACCGTTCCCGCTACTTGAAAACCAACCTACTTCCTCTTGTCTTATGGAGAAAACGAAATTCAGCGTTTGGTGATAAAAATCAATAGAGAAAGTTGTCACTTTCTTGGGAAAATGTTTGAAGCCTTATGATGAATCGCCAAGAAAGTGGTTCTAGCTGTAAGATATTCTACTCCCCCCTCTCCGGGAGGAAAGAAAAAACTTCTCGGAATTTCTAAGAAAGAATTTTCACTTCGAGAATGAAAGATTTAAACGGAAACTGAAAGGGATTTGAGGGTACAAAATGATATCAGAACGGAGAGTGATGATGAGTGAGGAGAGAAAGTGAGAGAAAAATTCTGGAAAGAAAGAAACTAGCCGTTTTATAATAGCCGTTGGGCTTCGCAGACGGTTACGCATATCATGCGCGTGTGCTCACGCTCCTTTCTTAATTGATAATTTAAATATTTTTACCTACTTTTTTTTTTTGTTATATTTAGGGAAAAATTAGTGGTAGGTGTTACAAGTCAATAATATCATTTAAAAATTTATATGTTTCTTAAAAAAATTATTCCAAATAAAATTAAATTTATATTAAAATATAGGTCCCGGCAGATATAATCATATTTACGTCGTAAATTTTTAAGTAAAATATAATAACAATACGATAGAAAATTCAATATTAACAATAAAAAAAATAAAATACAACTTATAAGAATTTTATGTAAATTCACGATTTTTTTGGAGCTTCGTATAATTTTTATTTGTAGATTCCCACGAGATAATAACTTTAACATGAATATAAATTATAAATTTCAAAGATATCTTGAATTTGTAAGTCTACTCTCTATTAATTACAAAGTACCCTAATAGCTAGTTTTGCTAAACTAACTCCGAAAACACATTTCTTGGAGTTCAGTCTCGAGTTCTATTTCTTCACATATTCTAAAAATATTTCTAAACTTCTAATATGTTTCTCTCAATCATTGGACTTCACAATTCATATGTTTTATATAAAATTCATCCTCATTTGTATCGTATCATGAAATAAAATAGTTGTCATGATTTTAGTATATTTCTTTTGCATTCTTTAACCTAAAAAATATTACGTTGTAACTATGAATTTCTCATTCTCTTATGAAGGTATATCTAATTTGTTTGACTCGACTATTATAATTTTGATATATTTTAAAAAATTATCAATAAAGAATATATAACACGGTAGTTTTTTAATTGATATTTAATATTTAATCATTAAAAAATTATGTCAAAAATTAGTTTACTGTACGTATTATCAATAATCTTCTATACGTTTATCATAATATTAACTTTATTATTGTGTTGAAATCAACATTGCCTAAATTGTATGAATATGTACTAATCTTCCAAGAGCTTGTAATATCTCTTTTCATGAATCACCTAAAATAGAGTATATTTTTTTAATAATATTCACAAATTTTGTATTATCAACATTATATACTTATTCAATTCATAAACATATTGCACAATTAGTGAGATTTTATTAAATAATATATAATAAATTTTCTTGATCACTTTTAATATTGTAATTATTCAAAAAAATTATGTCAAATCAAGATCTTTTAAGTTCTGTTCGTATATGACTAATCTTTCAATAGTTCATTATATCTCGTATCATGAATTATATGAAATAGGATATTGATTTAAATAATATTTATAAATTCTTGTGTTACTAACATAATATACTTATTCAATTTATAAATTTCTTGCACAATTGTTGAGACGTTATAATACAACCGTGTATCATTTTAAACAGTTATACTTGTATTAGTAACACAGGTGCAATATTTAAGAAGAGATTTTTACAATGGGGTACTTTTTATTATTTTTTCAAAGTTTATATCTCCCCGCGCAATGATATAATGAATTAAATCAATTTTTTTAAAAATATGTTTCATCCATTGGTGATATCTTGGTTTCTTGACTTGAGTAATGACACCATTATTGTTAAATTACAATTACTGGAGCAAAGTTTGCAATAATTCTAAGTAATATGATAATTGGAGATCCGAACTATTTCTTAGCAGCTTCACCAATAACAAATTATTTTGATCTATCTGTTGAATCGACTCTAGTTGTTCGTTTGACACTCTACCAACTTACAACTCCTTAATTGAGGATGAAGACGAAACCAAAAATTTATTTCCTATCATCTATACCTTATTGAGGTTGTCCTTTAATTTTTAAGTTAGGAACTAAGTCATCAGTTAGAGAAGTACCGTTGGTTTTCTTCATATATTTAAAGATATTTTTCACAATGCTCAAATGACTCGCATTCGAATTTTCTAACACCAACACGTAAATCTTAAAGTTTAAATGATTTTGGACTTAGTACATAGTGTTGCCCAAGGTGATTGCTTATATTTCCAAAACATAAGGTAGTCTTCATCCAATCTCTTTATTAAAGTGTCTTTGGAAAAACTATTTAGAGAGATGAATTCCGAGATATTGGTAGCAACTCTTTCTTTCGAATTTTAATATTGAACCTTTTTAATAGAGCTTTTATGTACATGTACTCAGTTAAGCCTAACCACGTACTTGATTTGCTCTTATATCCCTATGATATATATTACTTTGCCTTAGTTGTTCTTAGAGAAGTTTTCCTGTGATGCAACGAATAAATATCAAATAATTAACTAATAAATAAATTTCAGGAAGTACCATTAACCCGTAAAACTCAAGGATTAAATTTTCTAATAAATAATCTCCACATCCAAAACTAAAAATATAATAAGAGATTTTTAGTGTATAGGTTGGATTTATCAATCAATTTCGCATCTCGTAACTTTTGTATGCAGTTAATTTCTTAAAATCTGTAAAAAAAAAACGGAGAAAGTTGAGCTTACAACTCAGTGAACAATTAAAATAATCTCATAATTCCAAGCAGTTATAACCACATTACATCCTTGTGACATGATCCAAAACCATATTTAACCCCCTATAGTGTCGGTCATATACATATTCATACATCAAAACCCAAAATCATATTTAATCCATATAGTATAGTTCAAAAGAAATATATTTATGATAAATTTTAATGTTTACCCGGTTGATAGTATCAAATTATAATCAGATTAAGAGCTTCAAAACAACTTTCAAATTCATGTATATTCTCATCAGAAGTAAATAATTTTATTAAATAAGTCAAGATCTCATTTATACTACAATATAATATTGATATAAAGTTTATTTTCAAAACAGTAATATACAGAACAATATGTAGTTATAGAGAAATTATATACTTATAAGTCGTATCAAAACTAATAAAGAGTTAAATATTAATAAAAATTTAAAATAACTTTTAAATACCATAAATCACGAGTACGTTAAAGATACTTACATGTAACGTCAAATTCCAAATTTTTCGACGAAATGGTAAAACTTCTTCAAGATCATATTCGTTCAAAGTATTAATAAATTTCCAAAAATTTCGTATTTGTTTATGCATAGTAACGATATATCTAATGCATTACATAGGAAATTCGAGATAGATATCTATTTTAACATCTTAAAATTATATGTTAGAAATTAAGAAAAAAAAATCACGTTAGATCGAATTCGGATGGATTAAATTAAAAGGATTCAAATGCAAAATATATATTAAAAAAATTTCCTCCACCAAAAAGAAAAATAACATGATGATCACAATTCATTATAGGAGGTTGAGACATGTAAGTTATAATAAGGTGGCTAAAAGCATATTTATGTACTTTGAACTTAATCATGTTATTAATTTTTTTATTCTTTGGTGTTACATACAAACATGCATATATATAACTATATATATATATATATGCATAACGTGCATGCTTTTTACACTTATATAAGTCAAAAGTTGAATCATCCCTATATATATATATATATATATATTAAGAAAAAACAAATGTTAAGTTAAGTAATGTACTAATTGTATACATTAACATAATATAAAATATTAAATGCTTCAATTAGAATACACATACCAATTTGGCATAAGTAATAGAACATAAAAATTATGGCTTATATATATATATATATATATATATATTCTATTTTGGTCAATATGCCATTAAAAACTTTACTATTTATAAAAATCTAATTTGGGTAATTTTATAATGTAAAATTATCGACGTATATGCCATATTAGAAAGTTTGATGATGTAATATCCTAATTTTGAAAAAATTAAATTGTAAAATTTGCTATTATCTTGATTTAAATTAATAATTTAATAAAAATCTTATTTTATAAATTTAATTAATTAACTCCAATTTTTATTAAAAATATTACACTATATGGAAAAATATTAA